GCCATTCATGAACAGCATTCAATGGGGTGTTTTCCATCAAGATAATGCTTACCCTCATATTGCTGTTGCAGCGCAGCATGCTTTACAGAGTGTTGGCAAATGCCTTGGCCTCCTAGATCACCAGGCCTTTCTCACTCGAGATCGTATGGGACATCACTGAACGAGAACTTCAGCGTCATCCACAATCAGCATTAATCGTCACTGTATTGATCGATCAAGTGCGACAGACATAGAACTCCATTCCTTAAACTGACATCCGGCACCTGTACGACACAATGCATGGACGTCTGCATGCTTGCATTAAAATTTCTAGCGATTATTAATGTACCAGCAATTTAGATTTGAAATGGCTCTTCTCGCACTTGCATTAACCTATGATCTTAAAAATTTAATGAATTAAATATGTTACCTAGACAAATATATTGCCGAAATTTCCTTACTCAGTAATAAAATTGGTGGTGTTGGAACTTTTTTTTCATCAGTGTATTACTGTTTCTTAATCACAAGGCTTAAACGGCTGCACTAGATCTTGTATTTAATCATCAAGACAATGAAGCTTTTCCAAGACTCTGAATAAAACCCAACTGGGTCTTTAAATTACTGGGTCTAGATCGATATTGCCTCGAAAACATAGCACCAGTTCTAATTAACTTTTCATACAGTATAGCTGCTCTTTCATTCAACAGAGTTTCGACATGTTTATTCTCTGTCAAAAGCAACACTACATCAATCGGCGTGGTCTTAACAGCGCCGGTAATTAAACGAAGTACATGGTTCTGAAAAGTCTCTAGTTTTCGGAAGGATTGTTTAAAAATAGTAATAAGTGGTTCACGGCAATACATAAGGAGCGGTAGTATAAAAGCTTTATAAGTATTGTTAAGAGTTGGGCGAGCACATCCCCACAGACAACCATCGAGACGCTTAAGGAGAGAGAGTCTGTTAGAAAATCTTTTATATATATATATATTTAATATGACACTTCCACTTCATCTTATTCTCAAGCACAACCCCAAGATAAGTAAAACTGACAGACATATTTAAACAATGTTTTAAGAAGTAAACAGCAGGTTTAAATTTTGTATGTGCAAGAGAGAAGGTATAAACAGCAGTCTTGTCAAGATTAACTGCCAAGTTATTAGCACTGCGCCAATTCTCCGAAGTTCTAAGAGCAGCGCCAAGGGTCTCCTCAATTACACCCTTCTTCGAATGTGTCCAAAAGACCAAATCATCCACGAATAAAAGGTGGCGAATTTCCTCAACCGAGTTCAAGGCATCAATTAAGTCAAGGATGCAACTTAGTACCGATCCCTGAGGAAGACCAGTCTGCAGGGCAAAACTCTGAGAATTCCAAAACGGACTGTGCAGAGACGCTGGCCAATAAAAGTGATTCCACCTCAACATTTTATTTCCAACACCAAGATCTTTGAGTTTAAGAATTATCTTCTCCTTCCACATCCTATCATATGTTGATCTGAAATCGACATATACAGTCGTCAAAACATTTCTAGCATCAAGAGCATCCTTCACGACTTCAGCAAAATGGGCAGACTGAATATTTGTCGATCGACCCCTACGAAATCCAGTCTATTCGCGTCTTAGTAAACAAAAATGCTTCAAATACCAATTTAACCGTTGCTTGAAATATCCTTTCCCTCACCTTCCGCATCACACATGTAAACGGCATAGGTCTATAATTGACAAATATCTTGCATCTCTATCGTTTTTGAGAACTGGGAAAATCAGCGCTTTCCTCCATTGTATAAGGACCACACCGGTCTCCCAAACATAAATATTCAAGAATATCTGCTTTGAGTAATCACCCAAATTCTTAAAAAATTCAGCGTGTATATAGTCTACTCCCGGAGATTTTCTAATTTTTAGATTTCTTAATGCAGTCTCCAACTCCTATAATACAAAAGAGGAGCCGAAGACATCATGTTATTTATGTTTCATACCAAGCATCTGTCATACATTCAGCAATCTTCTTCAGGAAGTTGGTTTTGCAACAATAATCTGAACCCTAGGGATACCATAAAGGAAAACAAATTTTACGACACCTTCTTCACAACATGCAACGATCCTTTATAATGGGCTGAAGCTATTCCTAATATTTATTAAGAGTTTAGCGCTACAATTCCGAACGATATTGAAAATAACATCATATGGGTAATTTTCCCTGTATATTTCAATCTGCGTAGGGCTCCATTCGCAGAAATTGGAATTTCAAATATTGTAATTTCAAATACATTCCGGGAGCAACCAAGACTGAAGTAGCATTATTTCACGCATACATACAAAATAAATAAAATTAGGATCTGTTGTACATGGTTGTTTGTATGCCATTATTTCTGCTTTCGGCCTCAGGAAAGATATCAGAAAAAATAATCATACAGCGGTTTAGCAATCACATACAGGACACACCAGCGGCCAAGAGGTAAAATCCCCGAATACTGATAGTTCGTTCTTGGGTTCTAATCCCGGCAAACGGGCTTGGTTGTACCGTTTCCGTGGTTTTCTCCATATGCAACATGTATACGAGCCAGTTTTCCTTAAAGTCCTATACGTAGGCATCCCTCGCATTAGGCGTTATCTGCCTTATTAGTGCTGACCTCTCAAGAATAAATTTCCCAGTAAATGAGGTACACATTCGAAAGTTAAGCGGTGTTGTTGGGTTTATGGTTTGATTATCATGTTCTGCGTGTGACGACTGTTTCAACGTTAACGTGTGACTAGCCTGCGACGGTTATTGTTCATAGCCTATTCCAACATTACAATAAGAATGTTCCTAATTCCTGCACGAATGTTATTTGTGAGTAATAAGTTTTTTTTTAACTTGCATTCTAGCAGAGAGTGAGATATAACGCCATCCTGCTGGAGCAAGGATGGCTCATCTACAGAAAGATATGCATATGCATGTGCGAAGAACCTCTCCAGAATATCGGATGCTTGTGTAAGATTGCCTGTGTTAAAGTAGCACTTACCTAACGCTTGGGTACCCACTGATTACTGTGTACCTATTACACGTGTATTAATATCTTTGTACATAGGTTAATGTACTTAGGAAACAGCACGAATAATCCAGTAGCAAAACACTGTACCACACACTACTAATCAAGGGTCTAACTATTAATTCACTATACTAATTAATAATTCTAGCATAACATTGCGAACCTAATATTTCAGTATGTACATGCCTTGTGTATCTAATGATAATGCTTCAAAAGGATCATAGTGTACTCAACATATGAGTACACACGTTATGCATGTATGCTACCGTATCCATGCTTTTGCATACACCTTGTAACATGGCAATGTATTATCTAGTGTCTAACATTAATTAGTTTTAACGCCACTGTATTTTAAGTACCGAATCTGTATGTATGTTTATGTATTATTGTATTAGCACAAATGACTACGTATGGTTATCTAGATAAAGGTGGACGTGGCACTATACCGATTAACCATATTGGTAGAGGGGTGGCGCCCAAGTCCTCCGTCGCATGTCGCATGTAAGATTGCCTGTAATTGCTCCCTCTTTCCCATTCTCGGAAACATAAAGGCCGGCTATTTACATCGAAAAGATTAAACTCTACCCTATCCCATTTTGATTGTATATCGGTTATAGATGTAGTTGTTGGAGACTATCCTCTAACTAGTAACGACAGGTTTGTTTATTCACAAAAGGATTCACTTCTTTGCAAGTATCGACAAATAGTTAAACAAATCACAGTCAATATGTGTTGCCATTCTCATTACGTAAAATTTCCAGAAAAAAAATTAAAATAATCATTTTTCTTTTGCGTCACAATGAATAAGTTTCCTTGAAGAATCTTTTAATGGTAATACATACAACTCTAATGAATAAAATATGTGCATAATTACTTTCAGCTATTAAAAGGAACGTTCTTTCAAGGAAATGAAAAATGGAAGAAGAGTTTTATGAACCGAAAATTTCCATACTTATCCATATCATTCACAAAATCATCCTGAAATTTTACAGCTGATATTTATTATTTTATTTATCATTATATCTCAATCTAGTTTTCAGTATTTTCTATGGGTCATCTTAAGATCATAATTTTCAATGCTGATTGAGGGCTTTTATCTTTCATATTTATGACTGAGGTTCTACGGCTTTAATCCTAATCCAGTTATCCTAACAAAAATGGAAAAACTAGAATGAACATCAAAGTGCTTTGAATACATATTACTCTATAATACTCATTATTTTTGTTTACATTACTTAAAATTTTTTTTTTCGGATATCTACTGACTGTATAATTTTTCAACTCTCTTTTCCCATATGATTATAATTTTGAACTCAGGGTTAGAACCTCAGAACCTAAGCTTAGTGGAGAGAAGTTTATCACTATCATAGTTGTCAACGTAGTATACTTGTATTTTCGTACCAATGCTTGTACGTCATGTTTCGATTCAACAACACGTTGCATATTAATCCCGCGTCTTATGTAATTCCTGTCGTTTAATAAAAGTTAATATCATAATTTTAGTACACTTGAAAGCCCAGCAAAACACGTTATTATCGGCATATTTTGAGGTATAATATGAATATTTTTACCTTCTGGTCTGAAATGTAAAAAATAATTAAAGGTAGCTTATCGAGTATGTTTCCTCCAATGGCACTGTCATTTATGTAACATGCTTTTTGAGGAAAGTATCACACATTACTTTAATCACGTTGCTGCTGGATATATTTCCAGTTAAGCTTTCCTCGCATAAATTGGTTTCACATATGTTTCATGCAAATAATTCAAATCACAAATCGATAAATATTTTCACTGAAGAAATCGATTTCCAGTACGCATAACACTTTAGAACTAAATAACCGAACGCAATGTAACTTTAATTCCTTTAAGTTTCTTACATTGTTTTAAATTTATGTTCTAATACATAGTAAGATTAAGATTCAAAATACTGTATGTGTTTAATTGTGCGCCGTTAGTTAAAACTGTCTAACTTATTTTTTAAATTCTTTTCAGATACATTCGCAAGTAAAGTAGCAGCAATTCAAGATAAATATGCAGACTCGTCGATCGGTAACGTGACAGGCAGTAATGCCGTCAATGTGTTCCTCGGCATCGGCATCGCTTGGTCAATCACTGCCATCGTCCACTACGCACGTGGAACGCAATTTAAAGTGGAACCAGGAAGCCTCGCCTTTTCCGTGACCATGTTCTGCGCCTGCGCATTCATCTCGTGCGTTGTTCTCTTACTAAGGCGCAGTAAAAGAGTAGGAGGAGAACTTGGAGGGCCCCTCAGATTCAAGCTTCCAACTACTATACTCTTTGTCTCGCTCTGGCTGTTTTACGTTATCATGTCCAGCTTGGAAGCCTACGGGTATATTGAAGGCTTCTAAACAGTTACAAATGCTACTACCTTCTCCATTGGCAGCTGTGTTATGTTTAACCACAGGCTTGTGTTACACGTCAGTATAACACTCAGTTCCTTCTTTAGAGCTGGCAGAGATCTGATGTAATTCTATCTAAGACCTGCTGACGGAATAGTTCGTTAGGTTTCCGAACTGCTATGGTTCCTCAGGTTATAAATAACATGGTTATATGGTTTATTTTGCCAGTTCTGTCCTGTGCCAATACCTTAAGAAAACAAATGACGCTCAGCACAAAAATCTTTAGCTGATAAGTGTATTTTTAAATCATTATCCTATGGTGTATACTAATATATTTCATTTCGAATATATTTTTAGTTTCATTGTGTAAAGCACCACGTACCGAAAAGTATTCTCTGCAATTACATTTGTTTGTCACAAGAAGAATTTTCATGTTTTCATAGGTATTTGAGCACTGACTCATGAGTTACATTCGTCAAGTACCTCATGCTCCTTTCTTTTTTCTTAAATATCAGAAAGAAAGAAAAAGAAGAGGTAATGAGAAAATCATGAACTCTTAACTAGGAACGTAAATGTGTTACGAAACAATATCAGAACTCATGTGATACATGTTAAATGTAACGAAAGGAAAATGTTTGATTGAATTTTGATTGAAAGAAAGCTATATATGGTAGCATGATTATATTTTTAATCAAATGGCACTTACTTAAGAGCTAGACATCGTGATTATTTCACGTTGTAAAGATTTTTAGGTTCTTCTATTTCGGCTAAAATTCTTGGAAATGTTAGTATGGATTGTGAAATTGCTCCCTGTACACATAATTAATTCTATATAAATTTTATTGTATTTATATATAATTTAATGCTATCCAGTTCTCCTTAACCTGCGTATGAGCATGAAAGATCCTAACATTTTAATATTTAAGCGTATATCTATATCATTATATGGATAAGTTTCTTAATTTCTGCTGTAGAACAGCTAGCCGAGTAGTAGATAAAGAGTTTTCACTGTATAAATCATGTTCTACTGCATGCGATCGACACGTTCCATGTCATGTTAAAATACCAAAGTCATAAACACTCTTTTTTTCATTTACACATTTACTTTGTGGTTATTCTTCAGATTAACTGCATCTTTCAAAACTAAACTTTACTGTTTAACTTTATGACAAGCTTTCAATATGCAGCATCAGATGATCAACTTGATTTATAACTCAGAAAATGTTATTTTCTTTATAATATTTTAACAAGTGAAAAACAAAGTCTTAATACGAAGCTTATATAACGAGTCAAATTTTTCAGAAGTATCTATTTGTCACTATAATATATTAGCAATGATTTATAAAACATTTGATAAGAGAATATTTTGCACAGATAAACATATATATTGCTAACTGCTTATATTTATACTAATATAAACCTTAGTCTGATTTCTTTACTGCATAGTTTTAAACTGTGAGACTCAAACTGGATTATATTAGTGTTGCAGTAAAGTTAGCAATTATATAAATACAGGGACACATGCATAATATCGCGTATGAATGTATATATATACACACATTGTATATATATGTAATCATACACATATATGCGGTACATATGAATGTACATAAAGAGTTTTAAAATTTTCTTATTAGTCAGCTTAAAATTCAAGATAAACTTATTTATTTTTTGATTATTTAATTTGATATAAATGTATATGTTTGTGTAAATGAAATTTGTTAGTGATTGCAAAACCATTTCTAACCACGTAAAATTTATATAACTAAAGGACTCAATTTACTCTAGCCACTTAAAATTTATATACAAAAACATTAAACTAATTTATTTCGTTTTTGAGAAACAGTTCAAATACTTTACACTTTCTGCAGATATATTTACAATTATACATGTATGAAGCGATATTTTCTTAATTTCTCTCAAATTTCAAAAATAATATAATGAAAGAATCATTCATATAATGTAGAGGCTGCATTAATATTTTGTTCACTTATTAAATTCAGCAGTTAACATTTCCATCATTTTTTTATAGAGGAAATGATGCTCCGATGCTTAATAGGTGTTTCCTGTTTATTGCGATATGTAGTTGTAGATCGACCCTCTTTGGTAGCTTTGAAAAAATTATTTTTTTACAAAATTGCCAATCCATATCTGCTCTAGGTCTATTAATGGCCCCTGAATTTGCTAAAAATATTTTTGTTATTTAGTATGAAGTCTATTTTGTGGCATCCTCTGTAACAGTGCAGTGATTTATAATGCTTGGGCAAAAATAACGTACATTCTATGTTGGCCATGAATATTTTGTCCTAGCACTTGTTATTAGCGCACAAAATATGATAGTCTAATAGCTAATCACTGCACAGTGTCCAAATAAATTGTCCTTCTGAATCACTGCATGAAGTAGTATTCTATCCCCTGCAAACGATTTTCTTTAAAAATTGGAAAAGTTCCGATGAGCTAAGTATAAGTGTATGACACTCTTATTTTTAAATTGATATTTTATTCGTAATAAATGGCGCCAAATTTTATTCACTGTCTTTATTTTCTTTTTTAAGAACTTAACAAATTTTCAATCTTTTATTCGTTTTACTGTTGAACATCTGCTTTGAAGAAAAAAATATTGTACTTTACAAAGAAACATTTCTCTTTTGGCAGTAAAAATTCTAAGTATACTATAGCTGTTACTTCTGAATATTATTTTGCGAAAAGTATCTTAAATGAAGCAAAATTTTTCTTAATATTTTTGTATATATGTCATATGTGTTGATTTAAAACATAATTAGAAGTTCATCAGCGTCTCTCAGATTTACCACATGTCTTGTGAAATCCGTGTCTCTCAATATTAAAATATTAAAAATATGATACATTTTTTGTCAGGTAAAATAATGTGTATGTGATTATTTCATAAGTATGTTCAGTTTTCGAAAATATTTTTCGTACATTTGGAAAGGATACAGCTTTGTATAATAAGGAATGTTGAAAGCTGGGAAATAACGTTTGGGATCTAATGAATTACTACTATAACTTAGACCTCATTATTATGTTAAAATATGCATACCAATGTAAAGTCATTTGTGCTAAAATTCTTTGTTACGGTAGTCGTACTTTATATCATGATGTATGTTGAATTTGTCTATTTAGTAAAAAGGTTTGTTACGCCAGTTTTAACTTGCTCCTTTTATTTCTTGTACAAAAGTTAATGAACATTTTTCACAAAAGATGTGTGTATTTAAATTCCTCATTTAAAAATTCACATAAATCTTCAAATTCACTTCTATTCAATAATCTAATTTGTATTTGAAAAATACCTTTTTATCCAGTAATGAAATGCAATTTTTGGAAGCATGAAATCTTACATGGGGAAACAATTTAAGGGTGCGATTTACAGGTATCAAAAAGCTAACATAGTCGTCGTTTTCGTAATATAATTTGAGCTGATGTCTTAAGATTAAAACTGAATATTAAATATCTATATATGTGAATGTGTATTCTAACAAAATTCTAACAATCACCCTATAACTGTAAACATCAGAAATACAAAATTTTACTTTAAAATGTATACTTAAATAAAATATAATATGTACTTTTGTGTGGGAGCATAGTAATTTTTAGTAAGCTTACATATTTATTTAATGTTTAAGAACACTGTAGCTTATTAATAGGTTTTCAGTCCAAATTATAACGTAATTAAAACGTTAAATAAAATTTCGAAACCATATCAAACAAAATTAAAAATTCAGCTTCATGAAAAAGCTAATCTCTTCTCTTTGCTTCCTTAACAGACACTTCGAAATATATTATAATAATGTACTATGAGTCCTTTTAATCAAAAACTGTAGGTCTCTGGAGGCATTCTATGGCATGCATTTCTCTCTTTGATCTATTTATCATGAAATGGTTTATGAAATCAATAATATAAGTGATGATGTACGAATGTTACGAAATATGGATTAAAAATGTTTAAATAAATTAATAGTGTAAGTCTTGATTTCTAACAAGACTTGAAACTTTAGCACCTATTGCTCACTACTTTGAGACATCATTAAGTGCAAATTATGTCACTTTTTATTCTAATTTATTTTTCATTATAGGTGGCTTTTTTATATGTACCAGTCTTTTTTACCTAGTGATAGTTAATTTTATGATATATATCGTCCTGCATCATTTATTCACGCTAATGTTAGTACTTATTTCTCATTCATTATTAGTATCTTTGGGCTCAAAGTCACTATCAAAAACACCGAACATGATGAAAGAATTTAGAACAGCTTTTTAGTAAATGTATGAAACTATTTTTATAAAAATTTTCCTTTAGGTTGACACAAATTATGCTGCCCTTCTGGTTAATTACTCCATTGAACTTTTTTCATAACATCACCCAAGATGCAGTAAATAATATAACTATAAAGCTTGTAACTCTTAATGGCACGCTGCGTGTATGTTTATAGACATTATGAAGAAAAATGCTGCACGTTCACAAGCTGGCTATCGCCATCGTAAAGAAACGCTTGGTTTCACAAAGTAGTACTATCAATGGAGCTATTGAAATTAGCAATTAGTCTTTCTTTTCATAAGACTGATTGATAATGCAGTCCTCCCTCTCAAAAATTTTGTTTAGAATATTAAAAGCACAATTCATAAAATATGGCCAGTTAAGAAATTATTATAAGAAGGCGCATTACATTGTGCTTAAACTCTAGGTTAGGCACTTGAATTCGAATAACTGTGCAACTTTTTTTCCCATTTAATGTATCCATTTTATTTGTGGAGAGAGTTTATCTCCAAGGAATAATAAATGAAGTAATTATTCCTAGAAATGCACAATTTTTCATTAAGAATTTTTACTTTTCATCATAAAATAAAGGTGGATGTATAAACATGGTATCCTAATTTTTTTTTAAAATGGATGCGTATTTGAGCCCCATAAATATTGATTCTAAGGCTGTAATTGTACCTACAGTGCTTCTCAAAATAATATAAATAATTTAATGAAAACGGTTTCAAAGCCGTGGTAGAGAAGATTCTGTAAAAATTAACGTTTAATATAGATCCAGAAGAGCAAATATTTTAGTAATTAGTATGAATTAATTAGTTAGTACAGTTTTCCTCTTTCTTTTGCGTAAAAATTTCTCAAATACATTCTTAATAAAATCTTTCAAGGAACCAATTGTAAATTTAATAATGAATCTTTTTTATCATCGAAACAAGTAACTTTTATTTTGTATCCTTAAATTTTCTTTGAAATTTTTCGATTTACTTTGTCATAGGCACGGAGAGCTAATGTAAATCAATAAACTCCTGAATATTTAAAAAGTCATATTTTGTATTCAGAGAACCCTTCCATTTACAGTGTTGAAATATTTTTCCTGAAATCGTTAATAAACTTATAAGATATTTCTCCCGCCTTCCTAGCGTGCCTTCGTAGTGTAGTACTTCTGCACGCTGGGCCGGTATTTCAGAGGTCCGTGGTTCGATTACCGACGAAGGCGGTTGCTAAATTCCTGCCTGCTTCCAAAAAATACCTAATGTCTCTACAGTGGCGCCCGAAGTAAAAGGGTAAAAGGCTGAGGATTCTCCGCACCCAGAATTTGGCAATTGTGTCCCCTAAAAACCCCAGTCGCCCTTTAAAAAGGGGGTATATAAGGTATTTCTCCCACCTTCTTGGCGTGCTTTCGTGGTGTAGTGGTTTGCAAACTGGGCCGGTATTCCAGAGGTCCGCGGTTCGATTCCCGGCGAAGGCGTTGTTAATTTTTTTATTTTTCCTGCCTCCAAAATACCTAATGTCTCTACAAACTATATAACTGAAAGTATACTTCTAAGAGCAGGATTCAAACAAATAAATTACTGATTCATGGATTCTTCAACTACTTTCGCGTATTCCAATAAATATTAATAGTTTTCCTACATTTTACTTCAAATATCCTTGATCTTATTACATTAATCACATAATATTAAGTATAAGTACTTATCGTCGTTTTCACGACTTACAGCAGCCCACTGGTGATGTGACGTGTGGGTTCCTTACTACTTTTGAGGTGAAACTTATTAACTTTTAACTCAGTAATAAGATCTATGAAGTCGAGTCTGTTTTATAAATTTAGAGAAAATCACTTCATATGCAGGAAATGAGAACACAGCTCCTTATCTAATATGTTTTGCTGTCTAATACTACAGTTATTAGCTGTCCCTTTTTAAAGGACAAAGTTAAGACAGAACTATGCTATCAACTGTAAAATCATTATTTATCGTACTTTGGATATATTGGAGTTTGGGTTTCCTTCTCATATTCAAATCTGAAGCACCATTAATAGCGCTCAAAGAATGCAAGAAATGCGTCTCCAGGTAAAGGATAATTGAAATCAGAAAGTAAAAAAAAATTATGCGTCTTATAAAATCATCTAATAATCTTGGTACCTAATATGCAAATTCCTCCCCATACATACATGTAAATAATACAAAATGCAAGGTTTATGAAAGCACAGATTGGCTCTAAAAAGTAAATAAAACGCTCACACACTCCAAAATATACAAGGTAATAGGTGTACTACTCAGCTTCTTTGTCATTTTGGACTGTTTAGATGAAAGTAATGATTATATTATCAAATCCGAATGCTTATATGATTAGACCAATAGTTTGCCATTTAGAACCATTTACTCTCCTCTCCTGAATTTTTACAGGACCATGAATCGGCATTACAGGACGATGGACTCCATTATCAGCACCCGTTGAAATGTCTGTTATTAACTTGTGGGCGTCAATAGCAGCCTTACTCTGAAGTCACGGTCGCGAATCTCGGGATGGATTGGGTTAGAGTCGTATCTTGTTCAGCGATGAGATCGGAGGCTATAGCTGGCCTTGTAGAGATGTTAAGTTATTTCGAAGCAGGAGACACGAAAAATGAATAAAGTCCTCGCCGGGACTCGAACCTCGGACCTCTCGATACCCGCTAAATGTGCTGACCATTACACCACGAAGGCATCCTAAGAAGGCGGGAGAAATACCATATAACTTACCTCACAATAATTGTGCAGCATCATGCCTCTATCATGTCTGGTGTTACCCTTCGAGGAGTCAATGTCTAAGATACTCGGTCACCTTCAGTGATCCTTTGCACTTTAAAGACAGCGTTGTCTAATCTGTCGAAGGCCTTTGTGCCAGTGGCAGGGCAGCTGATCTACTGATGTAGAAGCTTATAAGCTATTTATGCTTTGCTATCGATTCTATTTATTGCGAAACTGTCTGAATCTATGCCCTTCAGCGTCAGAGGGAGAGAAGCTCAAAATATTGCGTGTCATCTAAGTGCATTCAACAAACACTTTACAAACGCAGCTAAAATGCTCAGTATCATTGCTTATTAGCACCTGTTAACTTTCACTATCAAGAAAATTCGCAATTCAACTTTCGACTTCTATCAGGATTGTTCTGTTAATATCTACAGACAGTTACCGATCATTAGTGCTGTACTAGTGATACCAATATTCTTAAATACATACAATTACTGTTCGCTTACGCGTCAAAAAAAACCGTTACGCTACCAGCGTATCAGGGACTCTTAAGAGACTACTAAAAATATTCTAAAGTATTCATTTATTAACCTAAGTAAAACATCACTCACGTAAATAATATGTCATTCTTCTTTACTAACCCTAACTTAACTACAGAAACATATTTTCCTAATTCTATAAATTGTTTTATTGCCACTTCTCAGAAACTAAACTAACAATAATTATTAATGGCCAAACGATATAAGTAAACAAAATATTAAAGGAAAGTAAGTATAAAATGCAAGCTACATTTCATTCAAAATCCAACATCTTCCCACCTTAAGTTGTCGGAAAACAACTTAACCTACTAAAAATGCTGAAGAGAAACTTAAAGTTAAATGGAAAAACATAAAAGAACTGACTTAAAGTCCAAACATTCATAAAATCTATAAGTCTAGTCTTTGTATAGGCCTGACTTTTCTTCCACTCCTCGTTTTTACAGATTTTATATCTTTTTGGCTGCTTTCCACTGAATACCCTTCAACTCTAGCTTGTTCAAAACTTTCATTTTTTAGATCTTCGAACCAATTGCATGAAAGTTCTAATGGAAAAATTCTTTGTACGGGACGTAAAAGTTGCCCATTTGTAGTTTTCAATCGTACCAATCTAATGACGT